AACAATAGTATAACAACTACCCCCTAACTTTGTGTCATATGAAGATCGATTTAGATTAGATATCCAATACCCAATTTCTCTTAAAACTGTTTGTGTGGGGTAAGTTAATATTTCATAGGGCTGTTGAGATTGATTTACCAAAAAGAAAAATAAAATAAAAGGCAAAGAAAAGAAAAAGGAAAAAAAAAAGAACATAATTTATATAGTTCGTTTTTAGGGGAAGGTTAGGGTAAAATAATCGATCACAATATTTGTTCGATCCCGTAAAAAAATAGAGTAAAATTCTCTCTAAAACCATTTTTTCCCGTTGACTTGCCTCACATCACATGATATTCATTGAGAAAACATCTGCATTATAGCACGAAATTAAAAGCACCAATGCTTCTCAAATTATATTATATTATATATATATATATATATATATGTTGACACTCACACACAGAGTGATAATATCAGCATATTGATTGATTTACTTTTCTTTTTTATCATCCAAAAATGAAGAAAAATAATAGTTGAACTATTGTTTTTCTATAGATTCACAAGGGGGAACTGTATTCGCCACCCAAGCATCTGTCAATCGATGTTTCAAAAGAGTCGCATCACGTGATAAACCTCGTTACCACAATTACTAACAACAACAACAACAATAATATAACAGTTTTGGACAAAAATATTCATAAAGTGATCAGTCATGGGTATCCAGTATTCTAAAGTGAGGAAAAGGATAAAAACACCCATAACGTTATATGGATGGGTGCAAAAGTAATAGACTGTTAGTTTTGACCTAACACTGTTAACTCTAACCGTTAAATGCTGAATGTGCATGCCACATGTTAGTCTTTGCTGACATGGACTAATAAAGGGGTAAAAATACCCATGAAGCTATCGGCTAGGAGTAAAAATACCCACAAGTCATAAGTTATGAGCAAAAATACCTATAACGTTATCAGAGTTAGTGCAAAAATGACAAATCCATCCAATTCCTTAAATGTTGACTGTTTAGCTGATACCTAAGCAAAAGTTAACCATTTTTTTCAATGAGGCAGACAAAAAATATTTCTAGATAAAATTCTCTAAAGGTTAATTGGTTGTTGTATGAATACCATGTGAGAAAATATCATTTTGACTGAAAATCAAATTAAATCACTTGACTGTTTGTAGCAGTGGCGAAAATCATTTGAAAATTTTAAACCTATTATGAATGCAATTGCTTAAGGTTGTGACAATATTCTTAAGTTAGATGTGTTTAGTCTCAATCTCCGATTTTGTACAACCTATCTCACTATGTAAATCTCAAGTTTTGCAAATAAAAAAATGAGTGGAGAGAGAGAAAGGAAGGGGGCGAGATATGTTACGATGGAAAGAAACTATGTGGCATTGAGCTTGACTGATTGGTCACTATTCCATATACTAAAGTAACATTATCGATACTTATACGGTGATAGATTAACATCTATAAAAATTCATCTGGGAATATTTTTTATCTACATCAGTGAAAAAATAGTTAACTTCTACTTAAGTGTAAACTAAACGGTCAACATTTAAAGGATTGGATGGATTGGTCACTTTTGCACTAACTTTGGTAACATTATGGGTATTTTTGCTCATGGTTTATGACTTCATGGGTATTTTTGTCCCTTTATTAGTCCACATTAGCAAAGACTGACACGTGACATGCACAGTCAGTATTTAACGGTCTAGTTACTTTTACACTCATCTATAAATATTATGGATATTTTTATCCTTTTCCTCACTTTAAGATATTGGTTGTCCATGACTAACCACTTTGTAGGTATTTTGTAAATTGTAATGTTATTACAAACCCAAAGGGCTCCACACCTACTTGTTTCAAATTATACATACCAAGTATGTAATATTTTTGAAGAGTTCTTCAATTATTTGCGAAGCACCCACACTTTAAAATAAAATATAAACGTGCCAGCAGGGTACAATGCATGTCTCGTACGGTTACTTTATAATACATATCAATATTCTACTATTTTTATTGTTATATTTTTCTCATTAAAACATATTTACATGACTTAAATCCTTAAAGAAGTAATATTTTTTAATAAACAAATGAGCAAATTATCCCTTAAACTTTGGTCTAGCAAACCCTGAACTCATTTATTGTGCAAATTATTAATTTTATCAACTTTTAAAAATAATATAATTTAACCTTAAATAAAAGTTAACTTTGACTGTTAGTTGACAAAAAAAAATATAAAAAGGCCTTAAAAATTACAAAGAAAAGGTTGGATCCACTATTGTAATTTTTGGCATTTTTTTATAATTTTGAGTCATTTTTTAATTAACTAACTGTTTGAGTTAACTTTTAATAACAGTAGATATTAGATTGCATCATTTTAAAGTTCAAGGAACAATTTACATAATAAATAAGTTTAAAGTTTCTGGTGCTAATTGACCTAAAGTTCAGGGACTAATTTACTAATTTATACTACTTTAATTTGGTTATAAACATCTTTAGATTACTTTACAAATTCTTGTTTAAGATCATACTTCACTTCACTCTTTGCTTGCAGGTTTCTCTTCTTTTTTTAAAAAAAATTCAATTAAAACTTTATACTATGAACATTAAAGGTTTAGTTATTATAAATTGACTCCGTCAAGTATAAATATCCGGTCCATCAATGACCAGCAATTTGCTAAGAATATAAATATTGTATCCATCGTGGATTCATAACACAATTAAAGTCATTCAACGCGCGCGGAAACTGGATGACGAACTTAAATCACTCATCAATATTATAATTTCAGACAATTTCAACTCATTGATATTTTAATTTTAATTTTTTAAAGTGTTAGTTGAGATAGTTATTTATCATATTTTTAAAATTTTATTTTTACGTACAGAAAAATATAAGACATAATAATCCGTCAAAATTTAATATAAACTAGCATATCTTACACATCTTTATTCATATAGGCTCGTAATACAAAATCTATTGAAACATGGTTCATGGGTCCAAATTAAAGTCATGAACAATCACACACGCGTTAAGGATTCAAAACAATTCTAAATATTTATCAAATTAGAGTAAATTAATAAAAAGTTTATGTGAGCTTTTATTAAAATTATATACTTCTTGTTTGCATTCAAATTGTGAATTTGAAAGCTCAGGCTGAACTCAACTTAATTGACTTTAAAATAATTAAAAGAAAATTTTTATGAAGCCTCAGCCACTAAATCATCCACACTCCACCCATGATGAGTAACCATGATAGACGAAAGTAGTTTCTAAATTCAAGAAAATTGACGATTATGGGGTTTCGGCACCAAGCTAGGATCATCTATAAATAGAGAAGCCATCTCTCAACAATCATGATCATCAGCATCAACAAACAATCAATCTCAAACTCCATGTCTGTTACTTTATTTTATTTTTTCTTTTATCATGTAGTTTTAGTCTTTATTTTCTGTTGTACGACCGGCATAGCCTGTCACCTCTTTCTTTAATTATGTATCTCTACTTTTCTATATCTATATTAATTTTTCTCACTTTGCATTCTCACATCCAAGTGAACTGTGGTAAGGAAGCTCAGGTTTCTCGTGTTTGATTAGAAATTAGGTTCTTCTATCATTTTGAGACCCTGTGTCTCTTCCACACCTTGTGACCCCCCTTTTTATTTTTGCCTAATACTCACATTATTAAAGTATAACACAAGAAGTCTCACATCTAAATGTAATAAACAAATATGAGAGGCATATAAGCTTGTTTAAGCTCTATTAGTATAATAGTTGAGTCCAAACACAATTACATACAAAAACTAAACACCCATGAATTTTATGAAAATTACACAACCTTTTCTAATTTTTGGAACCTACACAAATCCACTTATCTTACAAACAAAATGAAACAAGCCTCTTTAAAAAAAAATATGGATTTTAATAATTGATGACATATTTGTGTAATTTAATTTAACGAAGTTCTCGAGAAATATTTTTGTATAAACTTTTTACCTACTTTGAAGGATAGCTTTTATGGATTTTAAAAATGGAAAAAGATGTCTTTATGTAGATTTTAAAAAAAGGGTAAAAACTTATAAGAGTAAGAGTAATTTGGTTCCTATTTAAAAGAAAAAATGTAGATTTTTTTCCTTTGGTTACGTTGTGATTTAAAAATAAACCAGATATCAGTGTAAATAAAATTCATGAGAAGCGGGAGCAAATCTGTTAAATAATAATTATTACTTCTAGACTTTTTTACAAGAGTCTTTTTTTTTTAAGCTAAAAATTTCCCATTGTTCCTTGCATTCGTTAAAAATTTCCTTTTTTCCTCCTTTGAAAAAAAAATTAAACTTCAAGTGTATTTATTATTGTCTGTGCGAAACAAGCATTTGTTTCTTATGAAGAAGTGTTGAGGAAGTACATCAGAACATGAGCCCCTAGACTTCGATTGGAATCAAAGACTGAGGGAAAGAATCAATCCGAACTTTCTGACCAATGCATCCATTATATATATATATATATATGAAGTATCAAAGAAATGCAAAACTACAAAACCACATACCCACCCACTTAATTTGTGTTATAAATTAATTGATTCAATTTATCAGTAATTTGAAATACAGATATCAAGCCTAACTATAATTGCTTTCAAAAGGCAGTCTCTTATTTTGGGGGTTCTTTTTCTTTTTGCGTTGCTTCTTACCGCTGAAGCATTCAAAGAAAGCAACCTTGAAGGTAAATGTGGGTTCTGCTTGACCTGATAATTTCTTGGCTTTTGGATATATATATATATATATATATGGGGAGAGAGGGGGGAGAGAGAAGAGAGAAAGGGGGCAATAATTGTTAATTAAAATAGAAAGAAAAGGACAAAAGAAATGAAGTTAAAGAAAAAGCAAAAGAAAGAAAGTAAAGGGGAAAAAGGAAAGAAGATAAAGTGAAAATGACAAAAAAAAAGGAGAATAGCAAAGTGGGTAAAAAAGAAAAAGAAATGGACACAATTTAAAAAAAGAAAAAAAGACAAAAGAAATAAAGCAATAGCAAGTAAATATTTAATTAAGAAATCGGAAGGAAAAAAGCAAGAAAACTAAAATATAAAATAATATAGAAAGAAAAACAGTCCTCATATTCCATTAGAATCAGCTGAAAATTGGGCCCGCCTGAAGTGATAACCAATCTGACTCATTTCTCTTGACAACCTTGCATTTGAAAAGTTGTAGCGTGGCACGTACGTCGCTCCCTGCAACACCAACAATAATTGCTGTCGGTGCAAGTGTCGATGTTGCAACCATCGCTGAACAATGGGGTGTTTGTGGAAGTTGACGATGGGTTGAAAGAGAGACTGAAAAGAAGAGCAGAGGGATGATGAAGCCGAAGACAGTGGAGGCGTCTCCTCTGTCGCTGTTGCCGTCGGGATGAGAGATGGGAGAGATGAAGTCAAACAAGAAGGTCATGCCAAATACAAGTCTCCTGGGAAGCTCCATGTGAAAGTTTATAGCAAGGGTTCACAGGTTCAGTTTGATTTAGTTTTGAAAAAAACTTTACGGAACAAATCAATATATAGTTTGGGACCTATTCAGTTTTTTTTTCTAACCAATTTGATTCAGGTCTAATTAAGTTTGAACTTTTTAATAAGATATTCTTCTTAATCGTCAATATATATTCATGTTCACTAATAATTTTTAACTATTAATTATTATTTGTAATGAAAATGTCATGCCCTAAAAATTTAACATGACCGACATGAGATATATGCACAAATTCACATCCCTAAAGCTTTAATTAGGAAAAATTCTGAATTAATGTTTCAAATTTTACCTTTCACATAAATCAAAATATCAAATTTTTTATAAAAATTTCTGCAGCACCTCCCCTAAAGGTCAGATCCTCCGAAATCTCTACAACAAAAAGTTTACAACATATATCCAACAATATAGAGCTTTGCTCCTTAGCAATAAATAATTGACATAACAAAAAGAATCAGGACCTTAACTATAGTTAATGTGGAGCACTCTAAATTGGATTTAGAAAAGGTACCGCATAGGTTTCAGAATTTTACATGAATAGGAAGATATTATCAAAACTGATCTTCTAGCCAATTCAACCACGAACCCATCAAAGATCAGTAAAGGGTACAGAGTCAGCTATGTTATATGAGACCAAATAAAATATTTTTCAGTAAATGATGTCCCAACAATAAACAATTAAACATGAATAAAATAAAAGTTTGAAAACAATTATGTAAGTTAAAGAGACAACGATTTTCATAAAGATTTAGTAATCCTCAAAATAAAATGGCTTTATATAACTTTAAATAAAATTTTGAACCACTAAATTATCAGATTAAATGTTATTGTCACTTGATTTTAAGAAAAAAATAAACAAAATAAATAATTATAAATAAATTACTAAATAAAAATAATGAGATGTAAAATCACCAAATAATTCTAATTTATGATTATAGGAACTTATCAGAACAATTAACAAACATGGACACACAGTCCACGAGAGTAAATAACCAAACGCAACTTATGTCCAAAACAAACGTGAAGACACAGTCTACGAGAGTAAGTGACCAAATGTAGCCGAAGCACAAAACAAACGTGGACACACAATCCATGAGAGTAATGCTAACCACAAACGACTTGAAGCCACGAAAACAAACATATGTACGAGACCCACAAATAATAAATGTGAGAATAAAGCTCATGAAAATCAAACTAACTAGTCATTGACCATGGTGTACCAAGGGCTAAAACTGCTGTTAGTAACAAGTGTTATGTGTAAAGTCCTCTTCAAATCCATTTTCAAATATGTAAGGAAATCATCACTTTTTAAATAAAATTTTCATTTTCAATGTCAAACTCGCAAAGAATCATTTTTCCATAGCAATTCAACAATTTTCAAAATGAAATCTCATAACTAAAATCCAAACTTATATTTACTGATTATCTAAAATAATCAATTCTGGTAAAATAATTTCACAAAATAAAGTAATTTGATCAACAAAATATCTAATAATCACATTATTATTGTAAAAAGAATTTGCATAAAAATGTAATATTTTAATAAAAAAATTTTATTGAAATATCAGTTGGAATACTATTTACTTACCTATCAAATTCCAAAATTCAAAAAGTCACTCCTTTTTAACCTTTACCAAGTTCTTCCCAACATCCTATATAAAGATAAAAATTTAATGGCTTATGCTTGAATCAAACAAGATACCTCTCAAAAATTAACTCAACCAACCTCTAACAATAATAACTTCAAAAAACAAGATACCTCTCAAAAATTAACTCAACCAACCTCTAACAATAATAACTTCAAAGTTTTAAGACCATAGTTTACACATAAAACGTTCCTTATAATTTTCAACCTTAGCTAATCACTTTGACTAAAATACAATATCTTTTAGGCTTTTTGTCAAGCATATAGTATGCAACATCTCTGAACCATTCACTAAAACTTCTTAATTCTCAAACTTTACCCAATAATTTTCAAACACCAATATCTAAATTTATTATACTTTTTAAACTCAACATTCATCAAAATTAAGTTAGAGTTCAAGGAAAACCAACTCTAAATTCTTCTTCTTAAAATAACTAAATCAATCAGGTGAGATTATCTATCAAAGATGAGCTCTATCAATATAAAAAATTTTTCACAATTTCTAGACGGTAAAGAATCTCCTTATCTAGCTCTTAAATTTTTGCTTTTTCAACCGTATAATTAACTTACAAACTCAAGGGAAACCAATCAACTCAAGCTTCCAAAGTCCTATGCCTTCAACAGATAAATCAATCTTTAACTCCAAAAATATTAAATCCTCATCCCCACATTATTCATGGCAGCAGAGAAAGGAGGAAGAGATTTTCAATATTTCAACCCACAACACGAGTATTCAGCAACCGGGAAGTAAAGGATCAAAGTTTATTACCTCAGACCATCAACAATACAAACAAGAGGTAAATCACGATGAAGAATAGAGGAGAGGAAAATTCTGGGTCTACTTGAGCTGCAACTACACATGCAAAGGACCACAGCTGACATCGGCAAGGATATGAGAAAGTAGCTTCGATGCTGATTCTGGCCGGCGCTCCTACCGTGTCACGCCTAACAGACCAACGAAGAAGACATAAAGATTCAATGCTTCCCATAACTACACACACTCGACAGCGGCACTTGAACAAGGAAGAAGAAGAGCAACATCATAGGGGAAAGCCGAAAGACTAATAGATCGAACATTTTACACCCATAAACCAGCACCAACAACACAAAATAGAGGAATATGCTACACGACTCTGATAGAGGAAAAGAAATAACAACTGGTGATAGAAAGCAGAGGGAAGCGCAACACGAACAGAGGAGGAAGATTAGAGAATCTAGTGATCCAACCCACTATAGCCGACGAAAGTGAACGGAGAGGAGAGTGGCGGATGAACTGATGGCGATGGGAGGAGGAAAGTGCAACGGGGAAGAGGAGAAGAGCAGTGAAGAACAATCACGATCTCTCTCACTCTCAAGTCGGCCACAGAGCAACGAAGAAGACAAAATAAAAATAGAAAGCTTATGGAAAAAATTACAGCAAAAGACCCCGTCAGATTTTATTATTATAATAATAATTTTTTTTATAACAAAAGTAAGTGCACATCCAGTAATTTTCCAGTAAAAAATAAAAATAATATACTTAAATAAGATTCAGACTCTAGACTTTTATACAAATAACTAATATTATCAACCAAGCCACTACTCCTCATTTATCATAAAATTAAAATAATTAAATTAAATATAAATTGTGAGAGAATTTATTTAATTTAAAATTTAAGATCATTATATTCCTACTAGACCAACATTCCTTTTTGGTAAAATATTTTTAGAATCAATACAAATACAATTAAAACTCACTATTGTATATTTTAAATTTTACTAGAATTCATAGGTTATTACAAAAAATCTCTTGAACACTAGAGAATGTTTTTTGACTATTAATTAGCATATTTAACTATTAAAAATTAATGTATTATCACTACTATAAAAAAAGAAATAAATGACGGTTAATACGCATCATTTATGTGACTGACATTTAAATTTTCCCAATAAATGACGGTTATAAAATCGTCATTTAAAATAAAATTTTTACAGAAGGCCATGCCAAATAAGACAATCAATGACGGGTAAATTATTTACCCATCATTTGAAGCCTGACAATAAATGAAAGGTAAATAATTTACCTATCATTTATTGTGACTTTAAATGACGGGTAACTTATTTACCTATCATTTAAAGTATGGTAAAGGATAAATAGTTTACCCATAATTTAAAGTCACAATAAATGACGGAAAAATTATTTACCCATCATTTATTGTTATACAAATGACGTTATTTATATAACGGTCATTTATTATATAATTTTTTTAATACGTGAGCTATTTTTATACCATCTCCCTTGCAAAAAAAAATTAAAATAGCAGCAGACAGTCATTTTAAATTTGAATATCAACAAAATTTATTGTATTCAATTTCAAATTAATCAATAAATAAATGTAATTATATAAAGTAAACTGTTTCTGAAAATAAACTACCTATTAAAATTATAAACATCCTAACTAAGTTCTATTAATCTTCTTTATATGAGGTCCACACTTAAAAAATGTATTGATACCATTCTTCAATTACCTCATTTATTTCTGCATCCTCGAATTCTTCAACATAATAATCGTCATAGTACTGCAATATATAAATGATCCACTATAAATTAATTTTAATACATTAATTTTTTTTATAATTTAAAATTTAATATTGTTGACATACCATCTCAAAAATTATACTTTCGTTATGGATAATGATGTCCTTCATGAACCTCATGATGCAAAAGCCACAATTCAAGCTATTTTTTTTTGTCTTGGGCACTAAAAATTAAAAAATTGATAAATATGTATTAATGCATTAAATTTTTTAATTTAATAAATGATTCCAATTACCTTAATTATATTCCAAGTGTAGGCCACATCATAATTTGCAAAGGACCTTGAATTGATTGTTTTGTGTTAGTGCGGTATAACACAATCGCCCTAATGAAACAGTAAAAAATATATTAGTATGGAATTTAAATAATCAAATAAATATGTGAAATACTTTATGCACTTATGTATTATCAACTCCAATAAAATTTGTTTCTTTCTTGATTTTCCTCCAAGAGAATCGAGATAATATATCTTTGAAGTGTTACCAAATGGTTCAGTAGCAATTAACATCCAATAGCCCCTAATAGTATTAACAAGTGTTGCAAAATTATAATTAATTAATTAAATTAAAAATAAAAAAATATTAAGATAAGTGAGAATTACATTACCTTTGACAGTGTGGTATTATGAATAATGTTCCCTTTCGAGCCCTTGCTTTAAAATTTTCGCTTAATGCCTTTGCTTGTTCTAAAATTTTGTTGCTTTTAATTTAAGTATGTACACCCACTTCATAGGGACTAACGAAGACGAACTTCGTTTATAGATTGAAAAGGACAATAAATTTTCATACAAGCACTTATTATAAATACAACAAATGGATTAGTTTATATTTAAAATATTACCTATTCATCTATGAAAAAAAAATACTATATGTAGAAGCTGAGAACAGTGAGACTGATCATATCATGTTGAAGTACTTTATCAATAACATCAAGCAAAAGCATATCATATCGGTCTTCGCCATACATACCAGCCTCGAACGGGATTTGCAAGATCAGAGGATTAGACCTATGAATCGTTACATATGCCTGGAGTAAATTTCTATGTTGGCTTGGCAACTGGGGCTCTTGTTCGGCACAGCTTTATGGGAGACTGCTTGTTTAGAGGAGAGCCTAGATCAAGGTATAATCTTTTTTTAGACTATGCATCTTTACTAGTTTTTTTAAGACTTGGCATCCTAACTTGACTAGCTTGCCATCCAACAAAACTATTATCACCTCTCCAACAATCCCTGCGTCCTCGGTGGGAATAGGTAACGGATAGTTCAAATCCTTTGGCACATTAATAGCAATATGTGCATAGGATGCAGAGAGTGGCATATTATGTAGCATGTCTCAGGCAAATTAAACACCCAACTGATAGCAACTACATGACAATTTGAGCTATTTGCCAACAACTCACTTAGGCTCTTACTCTATATTAATAAGTAATACACTATATTAAAGTTATGAAAAATAGAAATAGTGAAACATGAGTGAAATAAATTAATAATATTTTACTTCAGGGAGATTTTTAACAGGCTGCATGATACTGTAACTACCTTTCCACTAGGACTAATATGAAACTCTACCTCCTGCCTCTCCTTGTCTTTTAGCAAAGCTTCAATCATGTCCCGTTGCCTATATAGCTCTTCTTTCAAGGTGGCAATCTTAGCTCCTGCACCCATATCCTCTATTGACCTTGTCTTCTTCTATGACCTGAATATTTTTTTTTTTAAACACCGAAACCATATTCCCTAACTCAACTAGGGTATTCGGGATTACCCAATGCCTTGCCCAAGACATCATCATCAGGCATGCCACTTTTCTCAATCTCGCCCTGTGTAATATATAGTAAGAAAGTTAAATTAGTTGATTGAGTATAAAAAAATATTAAGTTAATGTACTTACACACTTGTCGGCAAGCTCCTGAACACGTTCATTAATAATATTTCCTTCTTTATTGGTTCAGCCTTCTATGAAGAGTCTGTGACGTGAAACTGAGCTTGCCTCTGAACCTTCTCGCTCGATCTATGAATTTAAATAAATTTAAATGTCAGTATAGTATATATATCTATGAAATAAGCTAAAATTATATAGTATAAATATTAACTTACCATTTGTTGCTCAATTCCTGCATATCCTATGTACCCCTTCTTGTAAATACAACTCTTTTTTTTTGTGGCTCAACTCCTGTACAAAACACATAAAATCATATTAATAAAATTAAATATATTGACAATAATAAAAATATTAATTCATCTCATTGTTCTTACTTAAAATTGTCTGTCGAGATATTGAGCAACAAATTCATCCCACTGTTCTTGTGAAACTAATGGCCTTATCAAATCAGGGACTTTAGCACTAATGTTTCGTCCTAATTTTTTTAATGTATTTTGCTCTCACGAAATACCAAAATGTCCGCATTGCCTTTCCAGCTTGTTGGATGACGAAATTTTATCTGACTAGCATCAATTGCAAACGCTGACTATAAACCAAAACAATTAATTAGATTTTCAGTCAAGTAATTCCAATTAACTATAATGATGTAAGTAAAGTATTTTACCTTTACTTGCTCCCAAATATAATTTTTTGTAGCCTGACTAACATCGTTCTAGTATCTAATTGTAATTGGCACATTTGCTTTTGCCACAATTCCTATGTAGTTGATGAATTTATTTATATTGGTTTTGATAGGTTGACCTTTGAAATTCCATTCAACTTCATATTTTTGTCCAGCAGTCTTTCTTCTATTCACTCGGCTATCAATGTCAAATCTCTTATTATTTGATTTGCTTCTTGCTGAATTTGTTGGTCATTTATATCAACATTAGGATCAACATTGCTAGGTCCACTGAGACCAGCAATCCTTTGGGAAGCCATTTACCTGCAAAAGTAGAAAAACAAAATAAATAATAAATAACAATATAAAAAAATAAAGCACATAATAAGTAATTTACATGATTAATGTAAAGCACACATTATAAGACAAATATAGCACATAATAAATAACAATAAAAATTTAAATCACACAAAACAAGTAACCTATAGGTTTAAATTGTTCTTGCTTTTTTTTTCTTGTACGTTCATTATCTTTGCTCGAATGCTTTTACCTCTTTTCTTTGAAATTCAAATACCTACATTGTGATCATTTTTCATATAAAAGGCTTCATCCTCAATGAAGTAACTTTCAAATGATGTCCCCACAAATGGATCATCTTCAACTGTATAATCATTCATATCTTCGTCTATTTTACTACTCAATAAAACGATAGATTAATTTACTTTAGCTGGATTAGGAATAAAGAACACTTGTTAAGCTTGTGAAGCCAAAGTAAAAGGCTCATATTTATAACCTTTTCCATTAAGATCCACCATTAAAAATCCCAAGTCATCAACTTGAAAACCATTTTTACGATTAACCCACTTACAATTAAAAATTAAAACTTGAAATTTGATGTAATCTAACTCTCAAATATGCTCAATTACTTTAAAATATGACATTTTTACATACAAGAAATTTTTGTCATTACTACAAAAAATACTTATGGGAGCGCTTATTTTAGAGCGCTTAAATGAAAAGTACTCCTAAAAATAAATACAGAATCTTTGAGAATATTTTGTTTCAAGTACTTTGAAATTCAAAGAATACGGGAGTGCTTTCATAAAAAAGCGCTCCCATATATACTTTAAAAAATAATTTTAAAACACATAAACCCAAGGGAGCGCTCCTAAAAAAGTGCTCCTTTAAGCTTAAGTGACAAAGGCTTATAGGAGCGCATTCCATTGAAGCGCTCGCATACGTGTTGGCAAAAAAAATAAAAATAAAAAAGTTTAAAGAGCAAAACCAACATATGGGAGACCTTTGCTTGAAACACTCTTCTACATTAGACATAACAGAGCGCTTCAACGTGGAGCGCTCCGAAAGGTATTATAATAAAAAAATAAAAATAATAGTTAAATAATTAATATATTATTTAATATTAATAATTGAATTTCTTAATTAATTATGAATAATATATTTATAATTTTATTTATATCTAGTTATTAATATATTTAATATTATTGTGTTTAATTTAGTTTAAATTTAATTTTTAATTAATTTATTAATTTTAATGTATTATAATTACAAACTATTTTAATAAAAATAATGTGTAAAATTTTATTTTATATAGTCACTAAAATTTACGAAATTATAAATTTAATTTTTTTATTGTATATAAAAAATTTGTATTTTAAGAATATAAAAGTTAAATAATATAACATTAATTTTTTATTGTATATAATAATTTTATATTTAAAAAATATAAAACATAAATAAAACAATATTAATTTTTTATATCTAGGTCTTTATCTGCTACTCACTTTTGAAGATTTAACATAGCCCACACCCACCCTCGAGCTCCTCTCTTCTACCCTGCAGCTCTTCTACCCTGCAGCCCCACGTTGTCCGCCGTCGAAGTCGATGCCATTAGCCGCCGAAGTCCCTTTAGATCATCGCACCGTCGAAGTCAATTTCTGTAAGATTCATCACACCGTTCCACGATCTGAGCGCGTTTTCTGTCAGGTCAAAGTCCGTTCGCTCCATTGAGATCCGTTCAGATCTCATGCTGTTTTGCGGTCGAATTCCTCTGTGGGTTCGTGTCGTTCTTGCGTCGATCTCTAGGTCTCGTGATCCATTGCTGCCATGGGGTAAACTTCTCTGAGTCTCGACTCCTCTCTTTATTCTTGTTCTTGTGTATTTACTGCTATAGATCTTTTTTAGCTTGTAGTGTAACCTTTTTTTTTTTTAACAAGGATTGTTGAGGTTACCTTGAACGGGTCTACAAATAAGAACGCAGACACTAAATTGATGAGAGGCTTGAAGGATGTATTAGAATTGATTCATCAGGACTCGTCTGCTAATGTTGGTATTTTAATTTCACTAGTTTGATTCCTGGGGTTTACTGTGTTGGGTTTGATTTGTAGGGTAATTAACCAACTTTCTTTTTCATCTCAATAAGATTAAAAAAAAAAGGGTATTTTGAACTATTTTGGTTCTTCATCAACTAGCAGTAATGGTCACTGGGTAAGATAGCTTAAAATTTTCATTTCACAAACGCAAGACCTTTAATGAATATTCAAAAGCTCGTCGTGCCACATTTTCATATTTAGAGTTTTGTTTAGACGTGTCAATTATGATTTTTTAAATCAGTTTTGTATCATGATTATAAGTTGAAGATGTAAAACCCCCTTCATTTCTATGCTTATAATATATTTTCTATCATGGACTTTCTCTAGTTTGACTCTAGTTCTCCTGTAGTTGAAGGAGCAGCAGATGGTGGACTTGGACTTACCGCTTGGCATGTGCTTTTGTTTTCATTGTTTATGAAAATTTATTAGTTATTCTTGTAATGTCAAATGCATCAAATTTTAACCAGCTTGTTTTGGAGAAAAAATTATCTGACATGTTCTTTGTTGGCTTTAGACAGCTCTTCCTGTATGGTCCAAACAAGATTGCCGGATGGATTTCAACACAAAATGTGATAGCCAGCCAGCCAGCCTAGCTGCTTCTTTTTTTCCTTATATTCTGAAATGGCCCTACTGCTGTACGACTCCAAACAGCGTACTGTTATGCCATGTTTTGCACGAGCTCATCTCTGTGATACAACTTGTTCTCCCTTTTGCTTATATTTGGCAGATCCCAAAAGTTATTTTGATATTAGTTTGAGAAAAAATACTTCATTCCTAACTGTTTGAAGATTTATGACTTCATGATATTGCTGCATTATTGCAGGGTACAAAAACAGCACTGAATTTACTTGTCGGCAAATTTTGCACTTCCATAACTAGACGCAGCTGCAATAGGCTGGACATTGGAAGTGGAGTATAGTGATTCTATCAAAGGTTAATAATACCATGTGAAGCACTACTGATCGGGTAGGTCGGCTCTGTTGTATGTGTAGAGCTATGGAATATCTCATAGTTATTCTTGTAAGCCACACAATTTGTTTTGCTTTCTCTTCCCACTTGATGACATTCTTTGATGGTCACGGTGTGGGAATTTTTGTCTGTGAATGATCTAGATTATTAATATCTTTTAATGTTTTCTTTTTTGAGTTTCTCCTTATATAATCAAAAGTGCATATAAGAAATGCCTATTGTTTTAAAATGTGTACATTAGTTCGTTCTTGATCGTGACTGCCTCTTGTTCTGCTGTTTGATACATATGGATGTAATTTCGTTTTCCTTTTGGATTTTCTAGATTAATAATTTCAATTCCTTAATCTCTATGCTATTCTATGTCTTTAATTTGTCTTTTCAAATGCTGTAATTAACAAGTTAGACATCTCATAATGGGCTTGTTCGGTTGCAATATTGTTCATGATTCATAAGTTTAGACAAACATGTAATAAATTATTGTGCCACTAGAACATGGTTGGATTAGTCTAATTTGTCTATTTTGTGCAGTGTCTAAAGGGAAGAAAGTGAAAGAAGGATTTGGGATCGTTGAGGTTTGGTTTGCAGTATCTTTTTAGTTACACCCACATATTTCCTTTTTGTGATATCTTGTTAGGTGTACTAGTTGTTTTGGATTTCCTTGTAGTGGAACATAGTGGCTGCACAAAGAAAGGCCTCGTAAAAAGGATGCTTGCTTTGTTAAGCGTCCAATGTTTATGTGGAGCTGTCATTGTTGGGAAATCCAATATTCATGAAGTTAGGGGAGGTACTAATGTTTTATTATCAATTTTATCCTTTTAAGTTGAAGTTAGTTGATTTTTAGTTATCATGACAATTTAAGGAATAAGTTTGTTTAGCATGTCCAGAGTTGGTAGTGAATGTGAGGGATGTGTATCAATTTGATTTTACTAAATTTATGTATATTTTTTTGTTTGAAAAATGAATTGGAGTGGTTTGTTTTTTAGACCCATTCATTAATTATTAATATTACAAGTTATTTTTGTGATGAAATCAATTTGATAGTGATGGGCAAGTAAATTGTAGGTTTTGTAAAATTAATTATTTTTAAATTTATTGGAGAATGTTGTAAGAAGGGAAAATTTTTTTTTTTTATTTAAATATATATATATGAGCGCTTTCAGAAGAGGCGCTCTTGTAAGGCATCCAAAAAGAGCGCTTCTAAGGAAAGCGCTCTTGTAGGTATTTTGTGAAGGCCTACGGGAGTGCTTCTAGGAGAAGCGCTCTTGTAATCTAATCCTACAAGAGAATTTCTAGAAAAGCTCTCTAATATACAAGAGAATTCTAAAAAGCTCTCCACTCAAGAGCTAAAAGCGCTCCCATAGAAAAAACTAAGTGCTCTGAAAAGCATTTTTTTGTAGTAGTGGTTCTTTAGTACTAGATATATGCATTGTTTGGATTATAAGAGTTACAAACACTATTTGCATTGTGCTTCGATCATCTTGCTCTTTAGTATAAATGTGTACCTATTAATGAGATAGCCGGTAAAGGAAAGAACTTGTTTATTTAGTTCTCTTGCCAATCATTTTAATTTTTCAAAAAATTGTATCAGGATCGGCAATCAACTTCTCAAGAATGTGCTGTTTCAGCCAAATTGTAAAACTCTTATTATGTTTGTTTGCATACTAAATCTCCGATATATTAGGGTTATCCCACTTAAGCTTGGCCATGTGAATTTCTACATACTCCTTAACCTCTACAGAGTTGTGTAGTACATATAAATGTGCTTGTTCCCATTATAAGTTGTAGATTGTAACTACTTTATTGCCCATGATTCCTTCTCCATCAGTGTTACATCATGCCGAGAAGTCGGAAGAGCAATATGGTTGACATTTGATAAGTACTTAGTATAAAATTCAACTGCATTCTCACAAATATATCGTTTAACTATACAACCTTTAGGTTGACTCTAATTTTTCACATATCCCTAGTATCCTCATGTAATGCCCAAATGGATACATTCATCACAAGAAAATTGAGCCACACATTTGTATTTCTTTACTAGATAAATAGTGATGTGCACCATTATATTAAAGAATGCATGCGGAAAATAAATTTCAAGTTCATATAAGATTAATATAATTTGGCTTTGCAATTTTGGCAATTTTGTGGGGTCAATCACTTTACTATATATAGACTTGAAAAAGAAACACAATTTTGTGATTGTGGCTTGAACCGTATCAGGTAAAATAGAACGTATAGCCATTGGAATAAAATTTTTCATCAATACATGGCAATCATGCATTTTTAAACCCTTCAACTTCAAATCCTTCAATGACACAAGGCCCTTAATATTTGAGGAGCACACCTTTAGAACTTTAACAGTAGCAAGTGACTCATATAAAGTCTTCTTTCCTTTTTTAGACACTATATGAGCTACTGCACGAAGAAATGTATGACTTCTCTTGTGAAGCTAACTCTTCCTTTATCTCCATAGAAATCATATCAAGTCTTGCCTTAATGTCATCTTTGGTCTTTCTTAGAATATGAAGTAATGTATCAGTTAAACTGTCTCACACATTTCTCTCAATATGCATGACATTAAGAAAATGCCTCACATATAAGGATTGTCAATATGTTGGTGGTAAAAAAAAAAAATACTTTATCTTCCACCCACATGTCTCAAGATGCTTTGTAAAATATTTGCCAAACTCGATATTTAAATTTTTCACCTTATCAAAATGTTGCTCACTTGTCAGTGGCATAGGTGCCTTACTCTTTTTTTGAATTCCCATTGAGAGTTTTTTTCAAGTGCTGATAATAATGATCAAGATATAACCATCTATGATGTTCGAGAGAGACATTCTTCATTCTATGTTCTAATCTCATTAAATGTGTGCCCTCTTCACAAATAGGATATCCGAGTTTTCTTTTGATACTATACCCTGACAAATTATCATATGTTAGAAAATCATTGATTGTGTCAAACAATAATGCTCTTAAATTGAACCTTTCTTCTCTATATCTATCATATACCTCAACATCGAGCTCCCACAACAATTTCAAATTTTCAATTAAAGGAACCAAATACGTCTGTCATTTTCTGGCTATTTTGGCCTCAAAATTAGAATGGATAGCATCATATATTTTCGCTTCATACATAACCATGGAGGTAAGTTGTAAATTACCAAAATAACTGACCATGTATTGTAAGTGCTACTATGAAGTTCGTGTGGATTCATTCCATCAGTAGATAATGCAAGACGAAGGTTTCTATCTTCTGCTCTAAAGTTAGGGTAATTGAGATCAATTTTTTTCTATTGAGAAGAGTTAGCTAGATGTTGAAGCTTCCTATCTTTGATCAATTTATCCGCATGCCATATCAAATTTTTTACATCCTCTGCACTACTGTACAGCCGTCTAAATCTAGGTACAATGAGAAAGTAACATAACACTTTCTCTGGGCTTCTTGTTCGCTTTGTACGTAAGGCATTACATTTTGGACATTCCATTAATGATGCATATTCATTTCTAAATAATATGTAATCATTAGGATAGGCGTGTATTTTTTCATAAATTATGCCAATTGAATGTAGCATTTACTTTACATTATACATAGTCCTTAGAAGCTCATTGTTTGCAGGTAGAAGTTATTTTATAAATGTAAGATTTTTTGTAAAGTTCTTATCACTCTATCCATGGCTCACTTTCAAGTTGTACAATTTTGACATCACGAACAACTTTGTGAATTTGGGTGCAACCAGCATATAATGGCTTCTTTGCACCACTTTTCAATATTTCTAACATTTCAGGACAATCTTCAAGTTCCCTTTCAATTGCATTGGTTATCTTTTCAAAACAATCGCTTTTATAAGTATCTGTCATAATCATCTGATTCAAAGCTTTCTTTATACTTTCATTATTAGTATACTCATTTTCTCTAGTCTCTCTATGCTTATGTTGACACTTGTAATTTTCATCAATTTCATAACATAACTAAATGGCCTTCCAACTCATATGCAGTAATTTGCTTCAAAAGATCATATCTTACACAAGGACACACTATTCTTCTAGGATCTGTTTTATGCTTGAGAGGTAAACCTCATAAACTTTTTCACATAATTCAAAATTCATTTATTGATTGGCAGACATCCATTCTTTATCTATAACTTTAATCTAGAAGACAATTCATTCAAGGAAATGTGATCAGTGACTTATGAATATGGAGAGGAAAGAAATGAAAGAAAGATTATAGATAAATAAATGGTGCTACGCTACATATAATATAGAGTAATTAATGAATCATGAGTCACAATGCATGAGCATTCACATATTCTTCAACCATTTAAAAAAAATTTGGCAGAATAATTTCTTCAACCATTTAAAAAAAAATTGGCAGAATAATGGCATAAGGAAAGTATTTCCTAGGCTAAAACCATCTTTTCAATCCTGGTATATCACTCAACAAATTATTTCAACCATATATAATCACAATACTAACAAAATTCTCACAAAATAAAACATTTTTAAATTATTATAAAATTATATCTAAAATTCGTTTTTTAAAATCATAGGAAAAAAAAAAATACCATAAACATAATTTTGAATCAATGTTTTTTATCTCATTAATCATTTTAAGGTTACATATATCCTATAACAATCCAAGCCAAGAAAAAAAAATCTTTCTTTAGCAAATGTAAAAAATCTTAATATAATAGCAATGATTTTTAGAGAAATTGCACGACAGTTTCAAAAGTCTAAATCTACTCCAATTATAATGAAAATTGGTACTAGTTTCAAAACTATCTGGATCAAAGAAGGCACAAATTTAAATTAAAAATTATTAATAAATCAGTCCAAAATTTATAGAAAAATACAACCATCATAAATATTTTATTTTAATCACTAATTTCATCTTAATAATCATCATAAGGCTAATTATATCATCTACTACCATTTTCAAGTCAATAACACATCAAACATTAATAGTTTTCGACATCTCACAATATCCAAAACGAGCAACAAATGATGAGAAATTTAAACAATAAAATTAACACTATTAAAACAATCCATAACATTAAATAAATCAATCCCATAATCTAAAAATTTAAGAATATTGGAAGACAATGAAGAAAAATCATAGAAATTACACACCCACATACCTGGAGAAGAGAGGATGAAATATAAAGAGAAAGAAAATGTGAGACGGCAACTGACGACGTAGGTGGTGGAACTTCATGTCGGAGAGGATGAAGATGTTCGACGGCCACATTGGAGGAAGATTGAGAGATTTCTACCGATTTTGTGTGTGGAGAAGAGAGGATATGCGAGAGAAGACGAACGGGTAGGAATGGAAAATGAGCTTGAAAACTGATTAAAAAAGAAAATAAATGACATATATTTGGAAAACACTTGTCATTTAAAGTTTAATTTTTTTTTTTTGCTTTCAGAAACTGAAACGTTGGGCAACAATTCTAGAACAAAAAATGATAAAAAAATTTTAAATTTTAAATGACGGGTGTTTATCATTTTTTGTTCTAGAAAATGAAACGTTGGGCTATAATAAATGATGGGTGTTTAAATATTCATTATTTATTATCAGACTTTAAATAATAGGTATTTATAACACCTGTAATTTAAAGTTTAGTTTCTTTTTTATTTTTTTAAATTAAGAATTGAAAAGCAAAACCTTTAAATGAAGGGTCTTTTAAACACCCGTCATTTAAAGGTTTGATAATAAATGACCGGTGTTTAAACACTCATCATTTATATTCTAACTATCACCCACCTCTCTCATATATGATTTTATTTAAACATCATTTTTTATGGCGTCTTATATTTAGATTTTTGTAATAGTGTATCTTTTAAATACTTGAGTATAAAATTACAAATTATCTTAAACAATTATAAATAACATTTAGCTTGTTGTAACTTATTTTTTACCAATGATTTACAAATAACTAATTTACAAATAACTAAACTTGAAAGAAGAAAAAAACTTTGAAAAAATTTATAACAATATATATATATATATATATAAAATAAATATAATAAGACTTGATTTGTTTTGATTTAAGTTTTCAAAAATAAAGAATTGAATCAAATTAAATCAATTAATTTTGTCAAAAGAAAACCAAACCAAATTTTGTTTATAGTTAATTTTGATCGATTCATATCGATTTGGATTTGTGTAGTTTAGTGTGATCAATTTAAATTAGTTTTGAGCACCCTTGGACTAGGCTGAGAATAGAGAGGAAGAGGAAGGTGGAGACGCGAAGATGAGGAAGAAGCATACGGGTTGGGGCTGTGAAGGCAAGTAAACTTGGGGCACGTTGATCTTGGGAGGGAAGAAGACATTGATTTTAAAAAAAAAAAAGAAAAAGAAAAAAGAAGAGAGAGGAGAGGAGAGCGGGAAACGCCAAAAAGCAAGAGAGAGAAAGGAGAGGTGAGAGAAGTGGATGGTGTCCTATGAGAATTTGATACTTGGTATGATTGTTGAGCCCAAAAATCAAGGACATTTGTCATTTGGGTAGTCCAAGTAAAATTGCATCCATTAACCCAACTTTATGGATATTTTTGTATCCATGTTCACTTAAAGATACTAGACATTTTTAGAGAAAAAAGATTATGAATATTTTTTTTTTCCTTTGACCCTTCTAATAATTAAATGACAGGGACATTTTAAAAAATTTTAGTCCTCTAACTTTATATAAGATTTTAATTTAGTCCTTAATTTTATAAAATATTTTTTTAGTTCTTTAACACTAGCACCATTGGTTTTAAATGATTATTTTTGTATCAATCATTATTATTTTAAAAAATTTAATTAAT